GAAAGAGCGCCGACAACAACGCGGCGGGACCGCCCTCCTCCCGGACTACCCCGATCCCTGCTCGGCGCAAATCCCCCCCGTCTGCATTTGTTCCCAGTGTGCCGACGACGGGCGCCTCCAGCAGCCACCGGTGAAGCCCCCGTCCCCACGAGCAGCTGGCTCACCTCATTCCAGCGAGTGGCTTCCATCAAGGCGAGGGAGAAGCCGGGGAGGCTGGCCGCCGCCTGCCGCCGCCGCCGTGTCCTCCTTGGTGCTTTTGCCTTCCGACCCGGCTGCTTAGCTCCCGCGATCCGATGAGATCGGGCTAAGACCAGGCTGCTTTCTCTCCCGCCGCCTCCCATCAGAGCATTCTTTCGGTGAAATTCTTGACAGATTTCTTGTGCCCCCCCCCGTGGCATATTCTCTCCCCCCCCCCGGCATATTTCCATAAGTCTCTCGCTGTCTTCAATAGGCTTCTCCAAGGAAGGGCTTTTTTGACTGAAGCCCACGCCAAGGCTTGTGTTTGCCTAGACCTGACACCCACCTGGTGCAGAGGGATCTACTCCCAAATAACGGCGCTCTTGTTTCTATTACAACCGCACTGAACAACCCAGTTTGGGATTGAAGTCCTCCCCTCCCACACCGTTTCTGATTCTTTATCTGACTGAAGTCAAAGTGAAATTCCGCATCGATGTCCATGGGATTGGCTTGCACCCTCCTGAGATGTAATTAGCAAATCTGCAGTGATATCCATCCAAGATAAATGAAGCATGCAGCCAGGAAGCTGCAGTTTCCCACCAGTAGCTTGGAAGGTGGATATTTCTCCAGTACGATTTATTCGGGCTGCCTTCATGTGTGGGTGTCTGTGCCTGTAAAATGGCATCAGGTCACAGCTGATTTATGGCAACCCCTTGGGGTTTGCAGCCTGCCTCTGTATGGTGATCCTGGGCTTCCTTGGTGGTCCCCCATCCAAATACTAAGAACTCCCAACCCTGCTTAGCTTCTGGGATCTGGTGAGATCAGGCTAGCCTGGGCCACCCAGGTCACCAGGGCTGCCTTCCTACATAGGTGAAAATAAGGTCGAATCTGCATTTGCATTTTTAAATTAGTTTCATGCTGCTGTGACGCCATCTTTCTCTGTGCTTGTTTGAATGTTGTTTGGAGAAGAGTCTTTTAAAGCAGTGCAGTGGTGCAATGACAGTGGAGCCATCCGGAATGGACAATAAACATATGTGGACATGCAAAAGTATGCTAGCACTCTTGAGGTGTGAAAACGACACCAAATGTAGACAGCTTTTTTGAAGATGGAGTCAAAAGGCTGGGACACCGGTGGGAAAGACAAATGCAGATTCAGCCTAAGTCTTCTGAAATCAGCAATGCATCAGGATTAGAAGGCAGTCGATATGGCTGCAGTGGCACCTACACTGTAAACACAAAAGAGTATTATGGCATTTTAAGAACAATGCATTTATTCTGGTGTGAGCTTTTGGGGAGTAGAGAACACAACACAATTCCATCAGACTTATGCCACAAGAAACCTGTTAGTCTTTTAAGATGCCATAAGACTCCTTTTGCTTTTGATCCAACAGACTAATGCTTTTTAAAATATTTATATTCTGTTTTTCTCCCCAGGGGAGACCCAAAATGCCTGCTGATTTCAGATGTGAAAGCTCCTGTTATCTAAATGGAGAAATCAGCATTCTTTTCTCATTTGATCCAAGGTCAATTGAGCTAATTTAACCTTTGTTTTCTCATTAAACTTTTACAAGAAATATCCCGGGACAGTAGATTTTGTAGGATATAGCTTGTGCTTATCAAGGTGTGTGTGTGTGTGGGCTTATTAATGAAATATAAAGATCTCTAAAATTACCCAGATGGTTTAGCATCTGTGTTCATTCATTCATTTCGAATTCTGTAAAATAGTTCACTGTTATCTAGTGTGGTGTAGTGTCTAGGGTGTTGGATAGAACTCTGGAGACCCAGGTTCAACTCCCTGCTTGTCACAAAACTTACTGGGGAAATCTTGAGACAGTCATTTTCTCCCAGTGTAATCTACATCTCAGGGTTGGTGTGCAGATAAAATGTCAGAGAGGAGAACCATACAGGCAGCTCTGGGCTTCTTGGAAGAAGGGTGAGATAAAGATGCAGTAAATAAATCTTTCACACAGAGATGAACTAAGCCTGAAGTCCAGTTCGTGAGTTACAAAGTCCACATGGTAGCCGTGGTGGCCACCACCAGGACTTTTAATCAAGATGTGTGCCTAGAATTCTGTGCTGGGAATTCTGTTGGGGGGGGGGCAATTTGGATACATTTTTACCCAAACCTGAAGGTGGCTAACAATCCCCATTAGCAAGACAACATACAAAGTATAAGAGACCCCCAAGTAAGCCCCCTTCCCTCCAAAATGCCTGCTCCCCCCTTTTTTTGCTGTCAACTCACAACTGACTTAAAATGACCCCATAGGGTTTTCACAGGAATAAACCAACAGAGGTGGTTGCTATTGCCTGCTTTGGAGAAGTGACCCTGGACTTCCTTGGTGGTCTCCCATCCAAGTACTAACCAGGACCAACCCTGCTTAGCTTTCAAAATCTGACGAGACTGGGCTAGCCTGGGCCATACAGATCAGGGACCTGCTGCCTACACACCATCTAAAGCTCTAGCCAAAATAGCAACCTTGCAACACCTCCAAAATGCCTACAGAGACAGTGCCCCCCCCCAGCCTCTATAGGGAGCACCTTCCATAGGGTAAGAGTCAACACAGGAGGAAAAGTATATGCTCTGGTAAAAGGGGAGGGGGCAACTAGAAGGTGGCAACTAGAGGCTCATAACTGGTGCATGAGGACATAGGGGAGGATGCAGTCCTTGAGATGTGTGGCTGTGAAAGTCTTTAAAGATCATAACCAGGATCCTGAAGTGAACTTGTAAACCAACATCAGTATTTTAAATTAGGCCAGATTTATTCCAGTCAGCTACCTCCGGACCATAACCAGGCAGCTGCATCCTGAACCAGCTGCAGTTTCTCACTTGTCTTAAAGGACCACCCAATGTAGAGGGCATTGCAGTAATCTAACTGCAAGGTTGCAAAAGCATGGCTTGGCATGACCAGATCAGCTGTGTCTAGTAAAGGGAAGAATTGGGTGAGCAAATACAGCTCCTAGAAGTCTTGGCCACCACAGCAACATGCTTCTCAATGACAAAGCTGGGCCCAATGACAAAGCTCCCTCCCTTCCTCCCACAGGTCCAGTCCCTGCAAAGTATCAGCCTCCCCACACAGCAGTATTTCCACCTTGTCTGGATTCAGATTCAGCTTGTTCTGCCTGAGCCACTTGACTGTGGAGGCCTGGGCAATGAACTGCAGGGCTGGGTGTCACTGACGTATCAATGACATCTAACCCCAGTGCTCTAAACAATCTCATTACCAACTTTGCTTTTCAGAATCCTACTAACTCAAGGCCTAAAACTCACTCAAGGATGCAATCTGGCATCAGAAGGGCTGCAGGAATGGCGAAGAACACAAGAACGTTCCTTGTGTCTTCTGTGCAGGAGTAGTTGGATACAGGGCACTGTTCTCTGTGGCCTTGCATTTCTAAATCCTAGTCCAGTATCATTCCCTGTGATTTATGGGGGCAGCAGATGTCATGAGGGTATGGCTATACCTTTGTACGCACCTTTCATTTTAACTTGCAGTGTGTTCATTTCATGCAGTGCCGTTTTCCATTTGGCAAGGCTGCTAATGGGAAGGTAACAATTCCCAATTTCCTTTTAGATGATCGTTTGTAACTGATGACCCCCCCGCTGGCTGTCTTGATTGAGCAAGTTGTGTCTTCTATGAGTTCCCCACATATTTGTCCCATTAGCTCTACATGATGTGGTTTTTTTCTATTGTAGGCAGTTTAAATTCCCTTTCTCCCCACCCTTCAAGCAGAGTTTCAGGTTAGGGAGCATGAAGCAATGTCTCTCTTGACAGGTATTTTGACAGATGAAAAAAATCTTGCACGCTAGGGGAGCCTTGCTTTTTGGCTGCTCCAAATTCACAGCTTGCTCACCTACCTCTTTCACAAATATCCCTGCAATATTGCGTTTGTTATGGCAGCTTACTCATGCTAAACTATTCTCTTGAGCTTGACTGCCTACCTGGGTTCTGAATCAAGATAATTTCCATTGTATTTATTTACGGAACGGCTCATGAAAACAGCTGGAGGACACAGCAGGTATGGTTCTCTTGGGTTTCTCCTCATATGTTAAAGCTCCCATTTCTCAGCCTCAATCTGTGCAACTCAGATAATATTTGAGAGCTTTGTGAGAAGGAAAAGTAGATGTCAGCAACAGGAGTGAGTTCCCTAGGGCAAGGCATACCAAATACTTTTTCCTTTGTGGTTGCAATAGCCTGTACAATTCACCGGAGATTGTGAATCGGTTACAGCCTCCATCTCGACCTGGGGCTGCAACTCTGTGGGAGAACACATGCCCAAAGTCTGCTTGAGTTAAAAAGGATCTCAGGTGTTCAGAAAGACCATCCTCTGCTTGCAACCCTAGAGAGCTTCTGCCACTTGGAATACACAGTCCCAAACTAGATGAACCAACAGTCCGATCCAATATAAGGCATCATCATTTTATTTTATTCTTATATCCTGGCTGTAGCCCTAAATGTCCATAGGTGACAGCCAAAGCGGCTTTGTTTATTTTCATTTTTGTCTTTCTCTGAACCTTGCAGAAGGAATCTTTTATTAATTTTCTTCTTTGTTACAGTTTACTGGAGCTCTAGT